TATATATATATATATATATATATATATATATATATATATATATATATGTATGTACATGAAACTGAAGACATCACCACATTCAAATTTCCACTTTATCATGATGCACTTGTGTGAAACAAAAAAACGAGAGTGAAATTTGTTTGGCAGAAGGAAAATTGAGGGAAAGCACAAAGGCAAGTGAAAAGCTAAAAGGGTCATGCTGAGATGGCTGGTTGCTCTCTTGGGAGGGGGATAAAAGGGAGGAGGTGAAGACGATGCAGGCAGATGGGATGGGTGGATGTTCTCCTTTAGGAGTGTGGCTGCATTGTTTGTTTTATGTTGCACAGAAGTGCAGCTGGGACAAATGAGATTACACTTGTGTGTTGACTCAGAATTCACTTTGACTGATTGGATGAGTCTTGCTCTGATATTTGCTCACTTTAATGTCAAGTTCTTGAATTAGCCTTTCTTTCACCTACAGCCACAGTTTATTACTATGATCCATCATGGTCATTTTTATTGCAGTATTTTAGTACAAATTGTGTACATAACAGGGGCGATTCTAGAATCTGCCCTTTAGGGTGCTTATAATATGGTGGACACTGGCATCAGATACAATGGGTGGGTTGGGGGTTCACTGGTGGGGGGTCTGGGGGCCCTCCCCCAGAAAATTTTGAATAAAGTAGATGCCATTCCCTGCATTCTGGTGTATTTTAATGGGTTGTTAAACATCTACGTTTACCTGCATAAATAAACACTTGATTCAACAACTATTTTAGAGAGCACAGCACAATAAGAAGGAGCGCTAAGCTAGCAGCGTACAATACCGACATGCCAGCTAAGATGCTACAGACGTAGCGCTCAGCTTTACATTACACAATCTTGTACAAAATCAGTTTAGTGTTAACGGATCATAACAAAGACTAAACTTATGCAACCAGAAGTTGCAACATACTGTAGCTATACATACACATACAAAACACACTAAACAAGGTAAAACTAGCTTTAAGCATTAACCATTAATTTAACCATTAAGTATACTGTACAATGTAATTATGATAAAATTTGAGGATTTACTTGTAGTTACCTTCGTACAGACAAACCTGATACTTCCTGTTTATCACTGTTGTATTCAGCTGCTCATAAGGTCAGCCGCAGCGCTTTATCCATCCATCCATCCATCCATCCATCCATTATCTTTAACCCGCTTCTTCCATTTTGGGTCATGGGGGTCGCCGGTGCTCATGTCCAGCAATCACTGTGCGAGGGGCGGGCTGCACACTGGACAGGTCGCAAGTTCATCACAGGGACACTTAACAAACAACCATTCACTCTCTCACTCACACCTAGGGACAATTTAGGGTTACCAATCAGTCTAACATGCATGGGTTTTTTTTGGTCTGTGGGAGGAAACCAGAGTACCCGGAGAAAACCGATGCATGCACGGCGAGAACATGCAAACTCCAAAGGCCCCCGGACCGGGGTTTGAACTGGGGACCTGCTCGCAATGATCCTTTCCTTTACAATTGATCCTTTCTATTACAATTCCTTTTACCTTTTTTTATTTTTTTTTATTTTGTTGCATTGAATCATAAATGCAATAAACAGAATCCAAACCCAGAACCACTACCCCACCCCCCAAAAAAAATCTAATTTTAATTGATTCCAGAAAAAAGACCCAGAGCAGCCGTCACTTGTTCAGCTCTCGCAATTATTATTATTATTTTATTTATACTTTATATTTATGCTTCTGACGCCAGTAGCAAAAGGCTAGCTAAAAGTTCAAAGTAGCCAAAGACTAGTTAGATGCTAAAAAATAGTGCAAGCTTAGTTAAAAGCCAATGGTAACAGAATGGTTGCTAAAAGTAAAAAAAAAAAAAGGGCAGAATTGTAACTAAAATTAGCATAACAAGTTAAAATTGACCTTTTTACTGTCACTAATGCATCTATTCAAAGTCAGTATTTGTGGTCTAGAAAAGGTTCTTGCCTACTTCTAGTTATTTAACATCTGATCAAATTGTTTTTGTCATCTGTGCAGATTCATTACTATCACTGACTGTGACCCCCCCCCCCCCCCCCACCCCCATCAGACAAAAAAACTTTTAGAAATTATACTTAAATTTGATGTTTCATTTTTGCCTTCACTTTCATGAATCTAAAATGAATCACTTTCATGAATCTTAGTCTAAACAGCATTCATAGTGTCATTCCAACACCTGGCAACATCGCACTTTGAGGACATTTCACGTAAAATCCCAATAAATCTAATTTACAAATATGTGTGTATAAAAGTGAATAAAAACCAACAATCATATCTCCTGAATGGGCTGAACGTTCTGATATACACATTTTGCTGAATCAACATTTATTTAATAATTAAATTTCTTTCCTTGAGTTTAAACCTAGTTTTGTAGGTCCAGATGTGGATTAGGTCATTGTATTTCTAATCTGCAGGTCAGATGTTGAGCTCTTACTCATATTTGCTGAGTGTTCTTTATGTAGAAGTGCAACTGAACTGCTGTGTGTGTGTGCATGCGTGTGTGTGTGTGTGTGTGTGTGCGTGTACGTGCGTGCGCTAAAGTAGATGATGTGTTCCAGAGAATACAGTCTGTGAGCAGCTGGGCAGGGCTAATGGGCCAATGACATCATCCACAGAGCAGGAGAGACAGGAGCGCACGAGCGATGTTGCCTTACGGAGAGAGAGAGAGGAAGTGGGCCTGCTCAGATGGAGAGCAGCATGAGATCCGGACAGTCCCTGAACTGTGGAGGACCAGACACTTCTGAGATGACTTTATCAAGGATATAGGACACACTAGAAGATTTTCCCGTTTTGTTGTTTCCATCTTTTTCATCACGCCTCCCCCCCTCCCCTTCTCCCCTTTCCCCTCCATCCTCTGTCCATCCTCTGTCTGTCCTGCTTCAAGCCGCTCCTCCGGGCATGCTCCTTAAGCCAAAGTATGGCCGCTTTCGCAACGAGTCTGTGACCTCCTCTGACGACCTGATACAGAGCTTAGCTATGAGCGGCAAAGTTGTGGCCACGCCGGTGGTCTCCTCCTCCACCCCGAGCCTTCCTCTGCCTCCTCTGCCTCCTCTGGATCCCAGCACCAGGTCTTCCTCCTCTTTTGCCGGGGCTGCAGCCCTGGCAGACTCCCCCTGCCTGGATGGGGAACAGGATGCCACCACAACCTTCTGCATGCTCATCCCAAAGATGCCCCAGTGGAAATTCTCCAACTCCCTCCTCAGCCGGAGCCCCTCCAGCTCCAGCAAGGACTCTAGCAAGGCGGCAGCATCAGCAACTTCTTCCCAAGCCTCAGCGTCTTCATCTTCATCATCACACAGGCCTGGTGGTGCGCCAGCCGCCAGCGGGCCCGTAGCCAGCCTTGCGGCTGTGCTTAACTCCTGTGACCCTGTCTGTGTCACCCCCTGTTCCCTGCAGGCCATTCGAGGGCAACGGGCGGTGGCTGCTGCCAACGCTGCTGGTCCAGGAGGTCACGGATTCAGGGCCGCAGAGGTCATGGGGAGCCCCGACGTTCCCGGCAGCACCAGATCAGGGATGAATCGCCGGACAAGGGTGGAAGGCATGTGGCTGGGGGGAGAAGACCTTAACCAGAAGAGCAGCTTCATCCACAAACCCTCTCAGGGCTGGCTGCACCCTGACAAGAAAATTGTCGGGCAAGGAGCCTCTTACATTGTCAGGGTAAGTCAGGCAGCACCTTTTTATTTAAATGCATCTAAATTAAATATACTTTACAAAAAAAAAAAAAAAAGAAAGAAACTTTCTTGGGCAGCCAGTGAAGCACAGGTTATTTATGACTAACTGGTTTCTAAAACAGAAAACATCTCACTTGCAGGCAGTTTATTCATGAGGCGACGACAAGGGAATACATAATTTGATCCAGATAGATGGCCTGGGAGACTGCAGGGTTGCACCCAGGGTGGAGTGTGATGATGAAATCATGTGCACAGGCCGTCAAAAGCATTGTTTTTCCCTCTGCACTTTTGTTTTGACCATAGAACGCATTGTGTTCAGTTGTGCTTAAAAACAATAATTAGTTGTATTTATGGAGCAGATTTCTGCCTGATTGTAGGAGGGGTTCTCTTTGTGTGCTTTTGGAATTGTTCATGCTCACATGCACGCGGAATTATAATAATTCTTTAGTCACAACTTTATTTCGTATCGATGCAGTGTGCTGAAACGTTCACTTTTTTAATCGAAAGTAAAATGAATATCATAAAGAAGATAAAGTGATGATTCAGAGAGATCTGAAGTGTTTTGTGTGTGTGTGTGTGTGTGTGGGGGGGGGAGTCATCTAAATCAAACACTTAATGTAAGTCACTGGTCTCCTTTTAGCAATCCCCCTGTGACTGTACACCTCTGCACCCCCCCCCCCCCCCTCCTCCTCCTCAAGCTAATGACATGACTCTTGATCATCACTGTCCGGGGGCCCGAGCACATTTTTCTAAGACATTATACAGGCACCATTCATTCCTATATTCAATTAGCTTAATCACAGTCATTTGCATCATGTGATGTGAAAGAGGATCAGTGTGGGAGGGGGTCCACGTGTTGAGTACACATTAGGCTTTTTGAGATTCATGACATGTCTTCCTGTTTTCCCTGTCTTGGCAGCTTGTTGTTATTTGTAAGCGTGCAGTGGTGTTTACTGATAACCTGTAAAAGCTACAGTTCGTGGGGCATCATTGCTCGTGCACCCCCAGTGCTCGTGCACCCCCAGTGCTCATGCACCCCAGTGGTGAATCTAATGCAGGGAGGAGCATTTAACGACCGGAGCGACAACACTGCTGCACCGAGCTGTTTTCATGCAGCATTGTGTCTCTCCCTTTCTGATTCTTCTCACACACAAGCAGTATCATTACCACTCATCCAGCCCTCTGCTGGGAGAGACAAATGGAGCTTTAACGCTTGTACATTTTGCGTGCATCCACACAGACTTGTCAGGCGATGTATCTGCCCCATATCTGCCCTCTCTGAATGCTGAGGCAGCCATCAAGCACTGCGAGCTCTAAAGCAGCTGCCATGCACAAGTGTCCTCTGTAACGTGACTGCAGCAGCTTCTATAGTGATCACCTGCTGCTGAAGGTGACAACAATTGTGCTTTTGCCCGTTTATATTTGAGTTTGCGTGTGTCTGTTAGCAAAATATCTATTGAATTACTGAATCGATTTGAATGAAACTTTCAGAAATTCATCACTGGATACGCTTTTACAACTTAACAACTTTTGGAGCCAACCAAATTCAAGATGGCTGCCACAACCAACTGATTTTCACAAACACAAAAAGGGTTGTAACTCAGCCAAATCTTCAGATGTTGGCCTAAAATTTGGAATGGTAGTAGCAGAGACGGATTCCCAGCACATATTCTGAGCTCTAAAAAATTTCTCAAGGTCTTTGTTTCAAACCTTGCCACTAACCATTTGGAGGCAACCCTTTTTGTCTGTTAGTAAAATATTTCATGACCCACTGGGCAAATTGTAATTGAACTCTCAGGAAGAAACGAACTGATGTGAAACTACAACTCTTTCACTTTTGGAGTCAACACCATTCAAGATGGTTGCCACAGCTAATCGACCTTAGCCAACACAAAAATAGATAAATCCGGTCAGTTTACAGGGACTGAGCTAAAACTCATGGTGTTAGTAGATAAACGTAAACATCAAGCAATGACATATCTCACAAGATTGCATAAAGTCATCAACAACTTTACTAAAATGAATATAACTGTTCCCTTTGTCTGCCAAGGCCTCTACGACAAAGTTAAAATATGCCATGCCTGCGTTATTACATTTCTGAGGAATGCTTCTTGGAATAAACCCGTTTTAGAGGCAGAAGGACGACATTGGACGACAGAGAAGGAGATGCATCAGCAGATGAGTTTGTGGCAATAGGATAGAAAAAAAGAAGAGCAGTTTCCAATTTCCCTGATGGAAGACTTCCCTCAAAACTAAATCTAATTAGAAAGCTCATTAACCTCTCATACTCAGAGCGTTGCCTTCTCTGCCTCTTCTTGCTGCGTGAGCTTTTTGTACATATTTCTTACATAGTACGTTTCGTTAGGCAGCTCCCTTCTTCAGGGGTTTCCACAACGAGCGAACTCGTATGAAATATTTTTTTTGATTAATTCAGTTTATTTATATAGTGCCAAGTCACAACAGAAGTCATCTCAGGGCAGAAACATTCGTATATATATATATACAAAAGTAAGTTAACATTATTTAACTGAGGAGCAGACTGCTTTGAGTTTAACTTAATCGCAGACTCTCATCTTGAGCAAGCACGAAGGCGACAGTGGAAAGGAAAAACTCCCTCATGAGGAATAGGGATGCACCGATCCACTTTTTTTCCACTTCCGATCCGATACCGACATCTGCAGTTTGGTGTCGATATATACCGATCAGATACCGATCTGATATAGATAAACAGTGCTGAATTAGCAAAAATGGCTATATCATGTCATCTGGACCCGTTTCTGAAACCGGTCCAGATGACATGATTTAGCCATTTTTGTTGTCTCCCTGGATGTGTGAACTTACAAACCCTGTGCTGAATTAACTTAAAACGTTTGTTTTTTAAAATGCTAACATGAATGTACTGAATTACAAATTTATTGAAAACTGTGCACCATAACAGCACACTTAAACACACCAAGAGCTTCACAAGCTCAGTCAAACATGTAAAAACAACACAACTTTCATTTGTTCAGTCAGTACGCTAGCGCGTGATGTCACTCAGAGCACAAAGCATAGAAATAGAGTGACTAGATCTGCCCAGTCATGGATCGGTCACATTGTCACCGATACCCGATCCAGAAGTTGTTTTTTTCCCCCCCCAGTTATCGGTACCGATACCGATGTTGGTATCGGATCGGTGCATCTCTAGTGAGGAAGAAACCTTTAGCAGAACCAGGCTCAGGACAATCGGCTTCGACCGGCTGGGTTTAAGAGGAACAGATACACAATGGCAGGTTGAGAATCACAGGTTAAGATAGAAATAAAATCAAATGAAACATATTTAATTGTAACAATTAGTTTTAAGAAATTAGATCAATTTGTCCTCCAGTAGTCTAAGCCTATAGCAGCATAACAAGCCAACCCTAACTATAGGATTTATAAAAGAAAAGGAAAGTCTTAAGCGCAGTCTTTAAACTGGACAATGTGTCAGCCTCACAGACAGAAACTGGAAGTTGGTTCCACAAGAGAGGAGCCTGATAACTGAAAGCTTTTCCTCCCATTCTGCTTTTGGACATAGGAACTGCAAGTAAGCCTGCAGTCTTGTATTGTTTTTATGCTATTAGTGCTTAGTGTATATTTAGTTGATGTTTTTTCTTAGTTCATATCTTAGATTGTCTTTCTGTTTTTCTTTTATATTTTATTGTGGGATGTAACTGGAACCCTGTGTACATAATCTCGTTCCACCACATGTACCACATGAGGTGGAACGACAATAAAGAAACTTTGACTCTGAGTCTGAGAGTGAAGTGCTCTGTTATAAAATATGGAACAACAAGATCTGTAATGCACCAAAGTCCATGCTCAATAATCCAAGTATAAAATCCAACAATGTTCAGTCAAGTCATCTGGGAAAAAAAAAAGAAAAAAGTTCTGAGCTTTTATAAGATCTGTAATATAAGATGGAGCTAGGTTGTTGAGGGCTTTGTAGGTTAGAAGTAAGATTTTGAATTTTCTTTATTTGACAGGGAGCCATTGGAAAGAAGCTAAAACTGGAGAGATTTGGCAATTGTTTTATGCCAGATGCCTTTCCTGACGCAACCAGGACTCGAACCCGCAACCTCAGGATTAAAAGACTGACCACCAAGCTACTGCAGCCCTTACAAAGCATCTTAGATACAACACTAAATGAACTGAACCCTGCTGAATGATTCAACAGATGTTTTATAAAGGCCCAAATGAATGGTGTTTTAAATCCCACGAGCTGTTTTCAAGCATGTTCAACACTGAAAAAATATATATAGAAGACAAAAACAGGAACAAACAAGATTGGAATATTGGAATTTAAGCATGTTTTCTCCACATATTGACAACATATTTATCTATATGAGTTTATAGAGTCTATAGAGTTTGACCTATTGATCATGGCAGACAAACAACAAATTCCAGATTTTACTTGATGCTTTTTGCAGATGTGCAAATAGAATATGCTCTCATGCACTGCTCGTAGAAACAAACACACACAGGATCCCTCAGAGGACTCCGGGGGCTGCTGGAGTTTGTCCACGAACTGGAGCTTTCAGTGTTGCTAATCCAGTCAAGGTACCATTAGCACCCTGATTTGACAGCCATTAGGAAGCTGCTCAGCCAGAATCACACTCTAATGCTCTGTTTTTGAATTAGATTTAAATCACTGCTGGAAATAGTCCTGTTCATCAGTGCAAGACTACACTAAAAAAAAAATTCCTGGAAGAGTCAACACTCAAAAAACACACATTTAAACACAACATTGTGTATTCATAAGTATTTTCGATTAATATGTGATTATGACTGAAATGATAACAGCACACAGGCACTTTTTTTTGAGCATTTATATGGGAAAAAAATAATAAAAGGTTTAATATTCCTTCAAGAAATGAACATCACCTGACACCTTTCATGTCTGGGTTTTAAACTAAAATCATTTCATGTTAGGAAATGACAGAGTTGTTGATTTTGATCAAACCTCGAAACTAGGGTCATGTGTAAACTCATGAGATTTCATAATATGTGCTGAGGATGACTCTCAGGAAGTACCACGTCAAATTTTAGCATCATATCTATTAACGTGGTTGAGTCATAGCCCTCTAAGGTTAGTTGTCTGTGGTAGCCATATTGAATTGAGTTGTCTCCAAAAGTTAATCATTTGTCAAAAGATATCTAATAATTATTTCCTGAAAGATTCAATCAAAAATGTCAAGTGGTTAAGGAGATATTTTGCTAACAGACGGACATAGATTAATGTTAATGTCAAAATTTTAATCAAAGGTCTTGTGCAATTGTTTAACTTTTAAATATGTGTTGAATATTAATTTCAGCTACTACTACACTGAATTTCAGCTTAATATCTGTAAACTTGACCAAGTTATATTGTTTTAATGCTCTTTTTTAACATCAGTTAGTTGCAGAAGCCATCTTGAATCAGGCTGACTCCCAGTGTTAAGTTTTAGACGTACATCCAATAATTACTTTATGAAAATGTGATTACAATTTGCCTGATGGTTCATGAGATATTCTACACACAGACACATTAAAATCATAACTGTCCACCTCCCATCTTTGGCAGCTGGTGATTAAAGGGAGAAATGACAGCATTTTAGGTTTATTGGTATTAATATTGTTATTGCAGTTGTCAGCAGTATCAGTGATGTTGTGTGTTTTACTAATAACACAGCATTGCTTTTGAGATTATAACTTTCATCTTAGGATGAACAAAACGTGAGCATCCTGCTGTATTAAATGATGGTTTTTCTCTCTCTGTAGTATATGGGTTGCATCGAGGTGCAGAAGTCTATGCGCTCTCTGGACTTTAACACTCGCACTCAGGTGACAAGGTAAGCTGGTAACCATCGCTACTGACAGTGATGAGTCAGGAGAACTTGATCTAACTGTAGTTAACTCACACGTCAGTCACAATAACGTTCAATTTCTAGATCATTCTAAAACAGATGCAGGCTTGGACTTTTAACACAAGTTATCATTTTGGAGTAGATGTCAGAAATATGTTAACAGTGTAACAACAATCAAAAAAGCAGTTTCTGTGCATGGAGTGACACCTGCAGCGTCTAATAATTCTCCTTCCCATTCAGAAAAAATAGAGCCTTGTAGATCTGTGGCACCCTGGATACTTATGTATGTGTATATATATATATACTATAATATACTATATATATGTATATATGTACATATATATACATATATACATA